TGGGCTTAGACACCTAATCCAACATAAGACCTCCCACACCTACAGGTAACCGGTACTTCATGCTTTTGGTAGATGATTTTAGTAGAGTCATGTGGGTTTATCTACTAAAGACAAAAGACGAAGCCTTTTAAACATTTAATAACTTCAGGACGAAGGTGGAAGTAGAAACAGGTGAGAAGATGAAGGTTTTCAGAACCGATCGCGGAGGGGAGTTTCTCTCTAACCAATTCACCATGTATTGCAAAGAAACAGGGCTTGAACGCCACTACACTTCACCATATTCGCCACAGCAAAATGGCGTGGTGGAGAGAAGGAATAGAACCGTTTTGGAGATGGTGAGGAGTAATTTAAAGGCAATGAGTATTCCAGACGTGTTGTGGGGCGAAGCGGTGAATCATGCAGTGTACATGTTAAACAGGGTGTGTACAAAAGCTCTAAAGGAAACAACTCCATACGAAATGTGGACTGGTCGCAAGCCAAATGTAAGTCATCTCAGAGTTTTCGGGTGCTTAGCGCACATGATGATTGCTAAGAATCGTCCAAACAATTTGGATGAAAGAAGTAAACGTGTTGTTCATCTGGGGGTCGAAAAGGGATCAAAGGCCTACAAATTGTTAGACCCAGATACAGGAAAGGCGTATGTGAGTCGAGATGTCGTTTTTGAAGAAGAAAAGACATGGACGTCGGAGAAAACAACGAAGATCAAGACAACGCCGGGGATGAGCTTCTCTATCGAAGGCTTTGAGTTTGACGGTGATTTTTATGATGAAGATGGCGAATGGGTTCCAGATACGCCGGACCAAGAAATTGGGTCACCAAAGAACAATGATGATTACGCTGAATTCCCTCAGTCCAATAGTTCGCAATCCGACCCGGGTCCACATTCCACATCCTCAAATACGCCACCGGGTACACCCAATTCGCCAGTTAATTCCAATTCACCGACTCCGGCGACAACGTCGAGTTCAGCCTCAAGCTCCACAGGTGGTGGCGCCCCAAATCGGTTCCGATTGCTCACCGATCTCTATGAAAATACAGAAGAAATTCAAATACCCATGGAGGAACTTATGTTAATGCAGAAGGACGAAGAACCCTCGTCGTATCAAGAGGCAAGACAAAACCCAAATTGGGTAGACGCGATGAAGGCCGAGCTGACTTTGATCGAAAAGAACAACACGTGGGATCTCGTCGAGCTACCAACTAATCGCAAGCCGATTGGGCTGAAGTGGGTGTTTAAGGTCAAACGAGATCCAACTAGGAAAATTGTGAAGTACAAGGCGAGAATTGTGGCAAAAGGATATGTTCAGAAACAGGGGGTCGATTTTGAAGAAGTATATGCACCAGTTGCGAGAATAGAAACGGTACGTGTTATCATTGCTCTTGCAGCTTCATCTGGGTGGCATGTACATCATCTCGATGTAAGGTCTGCATTCCTAAATGGGAAATTAGAAAAAGAGGTCTATGTATCTCAACCGGAGGGCTTTGAGAAGAAAAGAGAAACAAACAAGGTGTATAAACTGTCAAAGGCCTTGTATGGTCTAAAGCAGGCTCCCAGGGCCTGGAATGCCTGCCTTGACAAGTATCTAAAAGACCTGGATTTCAAAAGGTGAATATCCTAATTGTTGGAGTATATGTAGATGACTTGCTAGTTACAAGGAGTTGTCAAGATGATGTGAAGAAGTTCAAATTAGAGATGAATGAGAGGTTTGAAATGAGTGATCTTGGGTTATTGGCTCTTATTATTTAGGAATAAAAGTAAATCAGCAGGAGAACTGTATTACCCTAAAACAAGAAGCATATGCCAAAAGTCTTCTAGCCAAATCTCAGATGCTAGCCTACAACCCCACTAAATGCCCCATGGAACACAAGATAAGGTTCTTCAAATATGAAGAAGGAGAACCTGTGAACCCAACAGAATACAGAAGTATAGTGGGTGGACTCAGCTATTTAACCCATACTCGTCCAGATATCACATTTGCAGTTGGTATAGTCAGCCGCTTTATGGAAAAACCTACTATGAAACATCTTCAAGCAGTAAAGGGGATACTTAGGTACATTAAAGGTACCACAGACTATGGGCTGGTCTACAGAAGGGGGACAAAAAAACAGATCACTATTGAAGGATACTCAGATAGTGATCATGCAAAGGATGAGAACGATAGAAGGAGCACAGGTGGGATGGCCTTCTATGCGAATGGTAACCTGGTCACGTGGGGTTCACAGAAGCAAAGGTGTGTAGCGTTATTCTCATGCGAAGCGGAATTTATGGCTACCACAATGACTGCTTGTCAAGGAATTTGGTTAAGACGGCTTCTTTCCAGCATTTCAGGTCAAGCAATACCTCCAATAGCAATGTTTGTTGATAACAAGTCTGCTCTTGATCTCATGAAAAACCATGTGTTTCATGGGAGAAGTAAACACATAGACATCAGGTTCCACTTCATCAGAGAATGTGTTGAAAATGGGGAGATAACAGTAACTCATGTCAGTTCAAAGGAGCAGAAAGCAGATATGCTCACTAAGCCATTAGCATGGGTGAAATTTGAAGAGATGAGAAACCTGGTTGGAGTGGTAAAGGTATGAATTTTTGAATTACGGGGGAAAATGTTAAAATAATTCAGAAATATGTTGGTTATTTTTAGTCAGCACATGTTTATTTGAGTTTTTATTTAGCTGTTATTAGTTTGAATAAATCAAAGCCACGTGAGGTGTGAGCTCCTGGTCTTTAGTATGTAGTTGAGTAGTTCCCGGTTTTCTTGCATTTGTTTATGTTTAAGTAGCAAGGCAATATTCCAACTATTGTATCTCTCTTTTCCTTTTCCCAGTTTATGAATAAGTAAAGTGCAGCTTTTTTGCCCCTGTATTGCTTTCCTATCCCATTTTTCTTTATCTTTTACCCACTGTGATACTCAATATCTTGTCCCATGTTGTCTTATTTTGTGTGAAAAATCACTAATACCCCTGTAAAGGCCAACATAAGGTTATCGAGAGTGGACTTTTCTGCTCCTAGAATTTTCGGTGATGGAGACTCGATCATACCATCAATATAGCCATAGAGGTTGTTGGTAATTAAGAATGGTTGACTCATTGCCTTCCAGTACCCATAAATTGTAGGAGATAGGGTGAAGGCGAATTTGTGAGAATTGTGAGAAATCTTTTCTACAGATGTGAATGGTTGGACAATAGCCATGATTTGATTGGTTGTTTGTGGGATAGGATGTGGAGCGGAAGAAGAAGAGAAAAGAACAACCACTAGTTTTCAGTCGGCTGGAGGTTGGCCGGAAAAACTTGGCTCTCATACCAAGTTAAAACTGAGAATTGAATGATAAGTAATTGCGGTTTTGTACAGTAGTATATGATACATGAGAAAATATATATATATATATATATATATATATATATATATATCTAGATATATATATATATCTATATATATATATATATATATATATATATCTATATAATATATATATTATATATATATATATATATATATATAGGCTTAGGTTATTCTATTCAAAGTAATTATTGTGTTATTGTATGCATAAATGTGGGCCAATCAAATTTACTTATTTTAAGAAAGTGATTAATATATATTATTGAATTAAATATAATTGAAAAATATCATCTTAATTAATTACAAGGGTAATTTAGTCAATTAATATAGATTTAATAAAGGAAAATTGCATTTTTTAAGGGATCATAGATTCTATTAATTTTAAAAATCCAATTTTACGAATTATAATTCTTTTAATTCGGACATTCTGACAGAATATGTTTATGAGTATATTCAAAAATAAAAATATTCTTAAACCATAAAAGATAAAAATATTCTTGAACCTATTTCTTGATCATAAATGTAAAAACTTCTTGTAGAATAACAAATTCTTGAACAATCAATTGAAGAATAAAAACAAAAAATACATTATTATAGAATACGGGTAACAATTGTTAAGAATTACATTTATTGTTAAAGAATAAAACTAAAAAAAGCTTTTAAAACGGGAAAGAAAACATCAAAATCTAACAACGACTAATGCATTCTAAAAGAATAATGTGGTCCGTTTCAATTTTGTGGTCCGCTCTTCAAGCATCAACTTCTGTGATTCCAACAGAATTGGAATTCGTGATTTCATTCCAACAGAATTTGAATTCGTGATTCCATTCCAATAGAATTGGAATCTCACCAATAAAACTAAAAAAACTTTTCGTGCTACTTCAAGTGAATCTTCAGGTGGAATGTGCTCTCCTCTTTCCTAAATAAGATAAATGTCATTAAAGATTAAACCAGACATTAATAATCTTGATTTTGAAAGAATAATTAAGGAAGTGAAAATGAAGATACCTTCATGAGTTGTTGGATGAAGTAAGTAACATATGTTCCTGAATTGGGTATTGACTTAATACTACTCCCAATAACATAACCTTCTGCAACAGGAACAACATGTGTAGCACCATCTCCAACATCCACCACAACACCTGTCATCTCACACTAAGCAAAAGCATATAATGTTTTAAACATTACAAATTACCAAATAAACTCAAGAATCAAGATTAAAGATTAAAGATCCAAAAAACTAACCTTCTTTGTGGTGTATCATGCAGCAAGAGCAAGAACAGACTGCACAGCTATATAAAGCCCTGGAACATTGAATGTCTCAAACATAATCTCACTACTGTTGGAACGTTCAAGAAAGGCTCCACATTACCAGCAAATCCCATTTTCGTATACCTGTAATACCATTATAAGTTCAATTGTTAGGTCGGATTTTCTTGAGTAATTTTATCAAACAGATGGTCTGCAAACTGTAAAAGGAGTACTAGTTTAGTAAACATTGTTGAAAGGGTGGGGCAAAACGTGCTACAATCACTAGGTTGAATTCGGCGACAGAAATATAAACAATTTGATTCCCTTACCGGACTTAACCTTCCACTTGAACAAAACAACATTATCAATAGCTCTGAGAGACTGGAAAATGCAAGGTCGATGCACAGGGACTTCACTTCACTGAAATTGCTCAGAAACTGAATGGTGATCGAAAGGACTCACTGTGAATCGAAGAAATTACAAATGGAAGCGGCCTACTTGGGGTGACGATCATACCTTGGAGAAAGTAAAGGGGTCTTATCAAGAGATTCAAGAGCTTATTAGGAAATCGGTCGTCGTCGACATCACGGACGATGTTCTTATCTGGAATGTTAGGGTCTAAGAATGGAGCAATGAAGGAAATCGTATCGACTTGAAGTACAATCGAGGAGAAACGTCTGGAAACGAGATAGCAAGAGCAAAGGGTTTTCAAATCGATTAATTTGTTTAAGATCGGAGGAAGAAAGAGGCGGATTTAACAGGGTTAATAAGAAACCGATCCCTAAAATAAAGGGATTATTTATACAATTGATTTACCAAATTACTAAATTACCCTCATTGATTTATTTATTTATTTAATTTTTTATTTAATTTTGATTAGCCCATATTTATGCATACAATAACACAATAATTACTTTAAATACCTGAACCTAGCTCTCTCTCTCTTATTATATATATATATATATATATATATATATATGTTTAGGTTCTTTGGAAAACAAAAAACCCTAAAAAAACCCTAAAAATCATTAAAATGCATAAAAAAAATACTTAGAGATCACAAAACTTTTTTTTGAATTTTTTTATCAAAAAATCGCAACTTTTAGGTCAAAATCGCTGAAAAAAAAATTTTTACAAAAAAAAATAAATAAATAAAATTGATTTTTTATTTTTTTTCAGGGAAATTGTAAAAAAATGCTGCGATTTTTTGATAAAAAAAATTCAAAAAAGTGTTGTGATGTCTTGGTATTTTTTTTATGCATTTTTATAATTTTTAGGGTTTTTTTGTTTTACAAATAATCATTCCCTCTATATATATATATATATATCTTATATATATATATATATCTATATATATATATATATATATATATATATATATAGACACACAGCGACATTAGATCACTAACTATGGTAAGACTATCAATCACAACATTCTAAATATGATAAATACCAATTACAATATTTAACCGTTCTAACAGAAGTGACAACCAAAGAGAATTTACTTGATTAAAACAAATTTTTTTCGATAATAGGATTATTTTTCAAATGTCGTGTGACCTCAACAAAAATTACTCTGTTTTTTTTCTCTTCCTATTTTGTTACTTATCACATCATCAATTGCTTTTCAGCTTAAGGTATTCATACTTATTATATAGAAGATATGTCAATTAATGCATACTTTTGCAAAACAAATTTGAACCTTTTTGCTAATACGGATCTAACAAAAGAACGATTCTAATACCAATGCATAATGTACGCAACCACATAATTCACCACAAGTGTGGCTATTCAGTTGGGGGATCGAGCATGAACATTCAACAATGGCCACAATTCTTTAACAACAATGCTTATGTTTGGTCTAAACTCAGCTTCATTCTGCACACATGAAGCCGCAATTGCTGCCATCTTAGCAACTGCCTTTGGTGGGTATTCTCCATTCAGTCTTGCATCAATATACTGATTCACCTTACCTTCACTGAGTCTTGGTGTTGCCCAGCTGACTAGAGTTTGTTGTCCTTGTGGCAAAGTAAGGTGAATAGGCTTTCGGCCAGTCAAGAGTTCCAGGAGAATAACTCCAAAGCAATAAATGTCGCTCTTTAAATTAGTCACTCCTGTCATGGCATATTCAGGTGAATGATAGCCAGAGGGAGCATAAATACGGGTAGTTCCAGAAATTACTTTCATGTATGGGGTTTGCTTTTTTAAATCAATATATATAATCTTAGCTACATGGTCTTCAAAAAGCATAACATTACTGGACTTCATTTCACCATGAGCAAGTGGAGGTTGTGTCTTCTCATGCAAGTATTGAAGCCCTTTTGCAGCCCCAACAGCAATTTTAACTCTTTGGGACCATGATAGAACTGGACCTGGTTGTGCACCTTTATCATTACTTCCTCCATGAAGAATATCATGTAGAGATCCAATTAAAGAAAACTCAAAAACAAGTAAACTCCAATCAGCATCTACACAGTATCCAAGAAGCCCGGCCACATTCTCGTGTTTAAGCCTCGATACCATAGAAATCAAAGCTAAAACGTCTTGTGCTTGTTCCCTTCTACAGTCTAACTCTGTAATAGCTGCAACCTGCCCACTTTTTAACAAACCATAGTACAATTTTATACCAAGTCCTGCACTAATTATTGACATTGAACTAAACTTAGCAGTGATTTTCTTCAACTCGTCCATCTTAAGAGCAGGGACAGCAATAAGTTCGAGAGCTACAGCCTGCTTGCCCTTTGGTGCGGCCTCTTTGGTCTGATAACCTGCATTTTTTTGTATCGCAAATAAATATCTCTCATCATAAGACTTGTGTATAGGTAGTGATGTGTTCTTATATAGAATAGTGCAAGCAACTCATGATTTCTTTTATCTGGTGAAAAAAAAAGATGATATTCTCATTCATTCATAGGATAAGGTTTTCTTTTTAGTACACTGTGGTAAAGTTATATTACAAGCAGTGTTGCATGTATTTCATGCTACTCTCAATCACCCGTGAGCTGCAGGTGGCATAAACACTGCTATGTCATCATTTGCATTGAATCTGTTTTTAATAAAGGCGATCAATATTGAAAAAAAAGGGTAAGTATACACTAGGATGTGTCAGTTTGGCGTTAAGATTCTTTTGAGCAGATTTTGTGTTGATACCACAAACTTGCAGGGTATTGATCAACACCGTTTGAACTGGTGGTGCACTGTACGATGATTTTTTTTCCCCATGGTTATTGTTTTGGCGTGTGGTATATGATCAGGCCATGCTACTCTCAATCACCGGTACAACAAGCTATTGAACTGTTTGTATTATTCATTTGAGTAGTATAAGATGTCCAACAAACATTGAGTATTACAATTAATAGTGATACTAATAATAACAACAGCAACAGTAATAATAATAATAATAAGTGACGGAGGTAACATTGGTAGGGCCGGATGGTGTAGAGGTGGTGGTAGTGGTGGTGGCGGTGGCGCTTGTGGTGGCGGAGGAGAAAAGAACGGACGTCACTATATATTCACATATGATTATAAAAGACTGCCGTGTAGTGCCGGTTAAATCTCAAAATTTCTAATTTATTTTTAATATGAGGGAAACCTCTCT